GAAGAGTAATCTCATTTGTGTTTAGAAATGAATTAGAATCTACTTTATTACAGATGATGCTTAATGACTAATCCTGAAAATATCTATGCTGGTACATATTTAAGCAAGTATAATTAAAATGTAAAATGGGGGCTGGGGTTGTGGCTCAGTGGTAGAGTGCTCGCCTAGCATGCATGAGGCACTGGGTTTGATCCTTAGCACCACATAAATATAAAATGAAGATATTGTGTCCACCTAAAAATAAAAAATAAATATTAAAATGTAAAATGGAAAGCTAAAGCAGATCTCAGACATAAAGTTTATGAATAGAGTTCTATGAGATTACAGAGATTGCTATTATAGAATTGGTTTTCATAGGATTCCAACCTACCCAAATACAGATCCTGGTTCTTTTCCATTCCATTTTCCAACCCTCTGAGTCAGTGGGTTTATCTTAGGTCTTTGAGAAAGTGGAATATCCACATAGGGAATTTAGTATGAGACTCAGTAATGTTTTGTGGCAAAAAAGGGCATAACTTTTGCCACATTGTGTGCAGGAGAAATCCTCACTCACAGGAGGACTAATAAACTCTAGATGTTGACCTGGCTTTTAAGAAACTTTGTAACAGTAGCACCTGGTGCTGAAGAGTGATCTTTGATTGCTGAATAGGCCTCTCTTTGTGTAGTTCCCTCTTTCTGGTACTTTCATCTTCTTAGCCCCTACTGACCTCGCATAAAAAATGCTCTACTTCCTGCTCCTCTTCAGAGTTACCAGGCAGGTAATACTTATCTTGTCACCTGGGTGAGATAGGAAATTCAATTTTTCCTTTATTCTATCTCCAAACTATTGATTAACATAAAAACTACACTCTTCTTTTTTTTTATAGCTTTCCTTTTAGGATTTTTGAACACTTTTATTTATTTTAATAAAATCTAATGTTGCATACCAAAACCTTTGGCACACATCTAGGGAAGACCCATATGTCAGTGACAACCATCTCCCATTTTCAGAGATTCTTACTCAAGTAGTTTGAAACAAAGAAAGTATAGTCATTCAGAGACATGGTAAAAAGCAAATTCCTATGTCCACAGGTATTTAGGTTTCTTAAAGATTAACCATGGCATTTGAAGGAAGTCTAATCAAATAAATTAGACTTTATTAAATTGGGTATTTCAAGGAAATGTAATGTTTTCAGATTTCATTTTAAAACATGGTGCTGAATCACTAAGACAGCATTAGCTTCTTACTTTCATGTGTAAGAATTTGTATTTCTTTAACAGAGAAGAGAGGAAACCTTTCTTCACCCTTATTTAATTATTTTCTCTTTCTCCAGAGTAAAATTTGCTGACACATAAACATAACTAAACATATTAGGACTACTCATTCCAGAGAAGAAAGGTGATATGGCCTAATAATTTTCAGCATTTTCAAACTTTTATCTGCATACAAAACAGAAATAAAGATAATAAACTGAAGCTGCCACACAACAGATTTAGAGTAGTCATAAAGAAAAGAGTGACAGAAAAGATGACTAAATATAAAAAAAAGGAATACAAGTGAGGTCAATAAAAAGATATTCTTATGAGGTTAAGTTATAGAATTTGCTGGCTGGAAAAAAAATAATTCTTAGATATCTTTTACTGTACCAGTGAATTATCATTGGCACAAAACAGTTATTTGAGCACCAACTTTGCATTTTTATAAGGAATAGAAGTCCTTTTGAAAGAAAATTAAAATCAGATCCTACACATAGACTACACTCAAATAAATTGGGGGAATGAAGCATTTGGGCATTTTGTTAGCCAAAAATATAATGCTTTGAAGTTATGCATTTTAAGATTTTTAAAATAATTGCTACTTTTCAATAAGGTTTCTTAAATATCTATCCTTTACCACTTACTCTTAAACTGAAACATTACCTCATTCTGAAGATTCATACACAACAGTTACTTATATACTTGAGATATTACGTTTTGTTGGAAAAGGATAAACTAGTATATGGAGTGTTAGTGGCCAAATAAACAGAGCTGCCATCTTGTGGATAACTAGGTAATGGGCTAGCTGCAAGGCATATCAAAAGCTGTATTCCTACATATCTAAGAACACAGAGTAAGTCATCATGTTAAAGCAGCTTAAAATACCTTTACATTCCTCAGTTGTGTCTATAAAATCACCACCTGAAAGATACGTTCATTTCTTCTGAAGTTAGTGTTAGCCTAAGCCTTATTAATATGTAGACTGGGAAATATTGGAGGATGGTTTCTCCAGTTTAATTAGCCTGTAGTGCTGATTTGTTTTGATAATATAAATAATTAGTTTAACCACAAAATTGATGTAACAGAAATAATTGTCAGTCAATTAAATACGGCAATGATTTTAGCTCCTGGGAAATATATAGTATGTAAGTATAGTTATAAATTTGAGATGTACTTTGTTTGAACTATAAAATATCTTCTACTTGATTTGTCAAAAATTATTCTTTATAGATTCCATGTTCTTCATCTCAGAAAATGTTCACTGGTAAAAATTTACTAAAAAAAGAAAAACAAAATTCACTCTACATTAACTCCTAGAGGAGTTGCCACATTTATCGTACACCTTTACATGTTATAACATTAAAATATTTTATATTCTTTGGAACTCTCAAATGCTTGCTGGTTATATAGTTGGAGAAATATAAATACTAAGACAGCACTGGTAAAATATATTTTAAGATTTAATGTTTATTTTCCTTTTATGAAATTAGAGATTTTTCAGAATCTTACATGTCTATATTTCTGTGTGCATATATTAAAAAGAATCTTCAAGAAATGTCAATATCCTTGTATTTTTCTTGCAAGACTTTAATGTTTTGACATTTCTGCCTTTGGATTTTTTTTTAAACAAATGCAATCAGGTTGGATTTCTTAATAATATTTTATGACAGTAGTAAGCATTTTTATGATATCAATTTTCACATCACAGGCACACAATCTTATTTTTGGCTTTAACTCAGATACATGTGCAGATTGATATTCAAGTATTATATTCAAGACTTTTCAAAAGGACATTTTGCAATAAATTACTGAAAGGCCTTGACCTTCAGTGTCCGGGCTCTTCCTAAAGAAACACTACCAAAGGATGACTAAAAACTTCATAATTTCCACTCTTTATTCATTTCTAACAATTACCACCCACCATAAGAAAATGTATTTTTCTTTACTTATGTATAAAATACTACTCTAAAGTAATTAACAGATTTTCAAATCTTACCCATTATATCCTATATTTATCTGAAACCTCCTTGAGTGTATGCATGTAATTATTTAAAATTAAATATAAATTCTGTCCTAAGGAATTATAATAAAATTTAACTTGATTTACTAACTTATGGGCTGAAGACTTATTCATATTATAGATCAAAATTAATAGGGAATATTTCTAGTACATTGTCCTTCTTCACAATCAAGTATGTTCCAATCATTTTGCTATTTTAATATAATTTAGATTTTAAATGTGAAATTCTTTCATGTTTAATAGTTGGACTTGGTTAGAATTTTACTGATTCATTGATCAATTTATATCTTGTTTAATATTTAATCATTGAAATCTGCATTCTTAAAACATCTTATTTATATATATTTAATAACACAGAACCAGGGACTTATACTGATAAATACTTATTATTGAATTTTGTGTATAATGTGGGAAATTGATACAAAATGCCAATGGAGCACTAGGAGTATCTTATTTCCCTGTCTTCATAGTGCCCTATTAAAAACAACAACAATAAAAACTTACTTTATGCGTCATAACACCACCTGAATGTTATAAATGTTATAAATACATAACAAAGTAAGGAAGATTGTAATTTGTGTGCATTAAAATCACCAGGATATTCATTTATCTTAAAAAATTAACTGAATTGCACATATATCAGCATGTTTTCTACATGCAACAGGATATAATCTAATTTTGCTAGTTATCTATCTCTTGTATTAAATATTTATGCCGTTAAAATTTTATATGAAGTATGGAATAGAGAAGCATATTTTATTTTATAAATTATTGTCTCCATGACATATCCTTTTAGCAATTATAATATCTTAGCTTTATCATTTATCTACAGTTGAAGTTCCCATTGTCCAAATTCATCTTTCTGATCTGTAATTTAATTTCATGTCACTTTGCATGGCAATGAATCTTTTTCTATACACATTTCCATCTAAACTCCCGTGTTTTAGGCAGAAATAAATGAACAGTGTCTGTCATGTAAGCCCAAAGTACAATTTGACAAATAGTTTTCTGGAGTTTTTGGATCATACACTTGACTAATATGATTAAATTCTGAATAATTCTGGGAGGGGCAACAACTTTTAAAAAAAGATCGCTAAGCCTGTCAGTGTTATAAATCAAGCTAATTTGCAACATTATTTCCTAGTTGAAATTTTTAGAGTTTAAGATAATAAGCTTTGAGATAATATTTAGAGGACACTGAACTAACTTTATAGTTTAAATCCACAGGATGTCTTTGAAATTAATATGTTTGATCTTTTGCATAACAACAGTAATAGTAATTATATTTTACATTAGATAGTACTTTTTGTTCTATATAACAAGTTTCCATACATTGACTTATCTTATTTCTATTATCAACTTTGCTCTATGTAACAGTCATTCTCATTGTGTATATAAAAAATGCTAAGTTCTCAAACTTCTTACAGACAGCACATGGTGGAGGTTGGGTATATTGAACCTCAATCCAGAATTCATACTCCAATATCACACCTTAACTTGCAATTAAGAGTAGTCCAATATACTGAGAGTCATATGAGCCAGAACTTGAGAGAAAATTTTGATTTATGGAAGTTTCCTTTCATTATTATCAACTTTTAGAACTCTTATTGAAACCATCCAGTAAAAATAATTTACTGTCCTTAGAAATGTGAAGGAATTATAACAAGCATTTGCCCTGAATCCATTATGCAGAAGGAAATGAACCAATATAAAGGCCTGCAAGTGCATTGTTGGTTGACTTTCCTTTCCCTTAAGGTGGGGATGGATGAAGAGAATTTTCTCACTCTCTCCCAGGTGCCAGTACTGCTTGCATGCTGAGCTGCACAGCTTTCAAAGGGCTTGCCCTGGGATATGGCTGCACTGGATTTAGAAGGAGCTTGGTCATTGAAGAGCTCTGGTAATTCTTGTATCTCACAGTGATGCAGCTGACAGCTCCTTTTGGTGGGGAAAGCTGGGGTATATTTCAAGGTGATTGTAGTTTTGTTCCTCTGGCAGCAAGCGCTGCAACCAGCTTAGCCCATTATCCTCCTCTCCCACTGGATATAAGCCTGGGGAGAAAGCTGGGACTTTTGTCAAGATAGAAGGTAAGAGATGGATAATTATTTCCCATTTGTGTTCAAGGAGAACAGCACTCTATCATAAAGTAGCTTTCAATTACTGAAATGGGATTATCTATAGATCCAGTGACTTATAAATTACTCTTTGCAAAAACCAATATTTAACATTATTACTTTAGTAATGTTATGCTTTTAATATCTCATACTTTAAGCTTTATTACACAAAACTTTGGAGATGCTGTTTAACAATCAGGGAATAAAATGCATTAACATTTTTGTATTTTTATTAGAAGATTTAAAAATACAGATGGCTGTTCTGATCAAATCGATTGAAACCTCTATTGTACAATTGTCTACATTGTAATTTTTCTCAACAACTTTCTTAAATCTCATGGGGTGGTACTGTAAAATCAATGAAAAGTAATTAGGAAATTTAAAATTCCAGATGTTGGGATTGCATTGATCTTTTCTGTTAATATTCACCCTGTGAAATACCTTTCAAAAGTACTATTATTTAATAAATGCGTTTGGGGAATACAGCTCTTTCCAAATATAATTAATCAATTAATTAGGCAAATAGGTCCTGGTATATTTAAGGGACAGGATTTTCAGTTTGTGATTCTCCAGCAAGTCAGCATGACTTTCACTCTCCTTTTCAGCAGAAATTCCAGTCAGAGATGAGCATTTCAATTTGCAGCTGACAGTTTAGGGTTAAGATATGATTCCAGGTAACAGAAGCCAATGAGAGTACACCCAGTTGATGTTTGTGACATCATCTTCCAGTCGGGAGTACATAGAACAGCTGAGGTAGCGTTCAGTTTCAGCCCCAGTGCCATTATGATGGATGTTTACATCTCTTCATTGAGAGCCAATTATCTCGCTTTTGTGTGAGGCCCAAGGATCACTCACGCTGCCAGGCTGCACACAGCACTGTTGGATCTAGCTGAACGAATTGTTTTCTCTGTCTCTGGTAAGAGCTTGTTCGGTTTTACCTTCTCTTTCGAAATAAAGGTAGATGTGTTGAACAGAGGAAATAGTGTAAGGGTCGAGCAGGATTACTATCTGGTAAGCTTTTAGTCAGAGTAATGTTTAGTATTATAAAAAGGAAGTGTGGATTTAGCAAAATGAACTGAAAAATCTTGCTTATGTGTACCTGACAAACTAATTTGCAGTACAAAATGAATGGCAGGTAATTCATCTTTTCCTTAGAAAAAGAAAAGTAACTGAGATTGCACCACTATTTTGAATGGGTTTTTAAAAAAACATATATATGTATACCACTCTGCTTTATTTCTTTATATTTTGCCATGAATAGTGAAGAGTAGAAATAGTCATGGTCAACTGAGTAGTGTTATAAATTTAAAATGAATCGAAGTTTCTAATTGTTAAACGATAGTTCTTTGGGACAGTTTTCCAAAGTTGTGGCTCTACAGGAAAAACAAAATTTATCAAGTGAGCAAAAAGCTTGAGCTTCTGAAATGAACTTGGAGTACTTTGTGTTCATATTTAACCCAGAGGAAGATAATAACAAATAATTTTAAAGAACAGTATAGGGGAATTTTTTTTCTCCTATGAAGTTATACAAAAATAGTTTGTTGCATTAACTGCTTTTGAACACATAACAGAATACTGTGTTTTGTGTATCATAGAATATTTAAATACCAAAAATAAAGCTCTACATGATTTAAATATTTGTCAATAGTGATATTTGCAGCTCAGGATCCTTGTTATATTGTAGCAAAAAAAAAAATGCATTTACAGCTGTTGAGCGACTGTGGAGATTGGTGATTGAATCTGACAGGGATCTTGAAGAATCAGATATACTAAAAGCTTTTAATTGACTAAGAATGTTCACTTGCTATTGAAAGAAGAATTCAAAAATACTTTTAACTCCTCAGATGTTGTCTGGTTTTATGGTTTAAAGTAGCAGACTATTTTATTTTACAGTTGAATGCAGTTTTGTATGAAACAAAGATACAGAAAGATGTAAATTGGTGCTGTTTAATTTAACATGCTTTTTATTTTAATAGCATCTCCTGTTCTCCTAGAGCAATAAAACTTTTGAATAATGACTTATGCATCAGATTTTGATAGGCTTATACTTTTCAGATTTATTTTCAGTCTTATTTTGACATTGAATATTTCTGCATTTGCAAACCAATAATTTTGATAATTAGAAATTAGGATTTGAGGTGCTCAAGTTGTACTTAAGGGCATCTGTATTTTCTCAGCTATGTCACACTTATGTATCTTCTACTAGCCCAGTCCTGTTTGGCAGCTCCTGACATTACTGTTGTTCGATTTGTCTCTTTCAGTCAATTCAGGTCTGAACAAACCTGAGCTTATAGAAAATGTCAAATGCATATTAATGGAATCTTAAAGAACTGAGCTTGTTGTCTCAGTCAAAAAATATATAATCAACCAAACCTCAAAAGATTACAAATACACATTTAGAGCTTTTTTTTTCCACCTTCAAGAAATTTGGGTAATGTCTGTGACTTTTAAAACCTCATAGTAGGAATCTAGAACTTTTAATAATGTAAACTCAAAGTATAGTGTTCCACTTCTCTAAACTGAAGTTGGTTTTCATTGTGTTTTTCCTTAAATACTTTAAAGTAGAATTGAAAAAATGCAGGGATATTGACTCTGTCATTTTCACAGGTGATCAATCGTGGCCAAGGGAAAAACATTTGTTTCCAAACAGAATTCTCTAAAAACCTATTTATACCATCATTTCAACAACAAAGAAAATCTTAACTTAGGCAATGAACACTCCTGACATTTAAATTTTATTTTATTGCATATAGGAGTGCTTCTGTCAGTGTTAGCCACTCTATTCACAAATGTACTGTTTTGGCAGGGTTACAATGTTAAATGGCTTAGCTATTTTTTTTTAAACAACTTTGTACAATGTTGATATGCTTGGTATCTACCTGACTAATGCATTTCATTGACAGAACGTTTTTGCTTTTTATTTTATTTACTTGAAAGAGGATATGAAGAGAATCATAGTAGTTCCCTTTGCCACAAACTCCCTAGAAAGGACTCTCAATGCAGGGTGACAGAGGTAAAAGATATGTGATACTACATGTATTGCCATACTCCCTTCCTGCTTTCTAACACAAATAGGTTCTTTGTCTGAAATAAACATTATTATTATTATTATTTTAAAGTTATTCTACACTATAAAATCTCATCTAGTTTTTTGTATGTTACAAAGTGTCCGATTTTGCTAGTCTTTAGAAAAGATAGAAAAGATGTATGGTAATAAAGAGATTCCAATTATCTCTTCTGAAGTTCTCAGTATATCCTAGATAGTGAGGGAAATGCACAATTTTCTTTTAAAAGAATTGTTCCTTAAATTATGTTCTTACATATTTCTACATAGTATTCATTTTTTGATATGCCTAAATACTTTGCTAGACTTAGTTTATTGTAAGTCCTTTAATTAGCTTCCTGTAATAATTGAATACATGATGCCATTTAGTTCTCTAGATTCTCAGTTCAAGAACTTGAATGTATCATGAATTCTGTGCTTGTTCTGACAGTGTAAAATTCTGGCCTTCTCAGCCAACTTTTTACTTAACACAAAAAATAGAGTAATTGTTATGTTGTGTTAGATGCTTTATATTAATATGTGAATGTGTGGATATTTAGGGGCATATTTTATGTGCTTAAATATAATATTTATACTTATTTCAAAGTTTAAAAGATATCTTTATAGACACCATTATTCATTTTTAAACAGTTTGTCTGTGTTAAAGTAAGTGATATTAGGCATCTAGAGTTAGAGAAACTAATAATTCATAACTTGTTCCCCAAGATCAACCAGTCAGTAAACCAGTAATGGAGGAGGTGAGATTCAGAACCTGAATTGATTGATTTGGATGCCATGAATTAATCAATCATCATTCAATCAATCACTCTCTGCCCATATATTAGTCTATCTAACTGGATATTAATTTTTTTGATTGTCCACTATGGGCCAAGTGCTCTTCTAGTTACTTGATGTGTAAAGTTGAACAATATAAAAGATCCTGCCCCTATGTATGCTGTTTTCTTCTTTCTGATAAGCTCTCATCTTTATATTATAACAAGTACAGAATTTAAGGTGTGTATGAATAAAACCAAGAACTTTCTAGGAAATGAGAAACATGCATTGATGAGACTTTTGCTTTTTTTGTTTGTTTGTTTCTGCATGTCTTTAAGATATTAGATATGTTTATTTTAAAATATATTTGTTAATAGTTTATGCTTTTTTGTAAAAATGCTTACAAATGATGTTATAACTCATTTAATTTTGAATGTAATTGCTATAATATTATAAAAATAAAATATTTTTCAGCGGATTCCAAAACCAACATCAAGTATTTTTAGGAAAAAAAAAAATCTTGTATTTATAGTGTATATGTAAGCAATCTAGTTTTGTATTTATCTTCTACTTTATAAAGTCCTCAATGGTAATAGGGAATTGAGTTTGTTTAATTTTGGTTTGGATCTAGTAGTATAACTAGGGAATGAAATATGCAGTCATTTCATCTTTTGTTTTAATTTGAAAAATACTATTGTTCAAGTTAGAGTAGTTTGTGTTTGAATAAACAAACAAAAGGCAATGTGAAGTTTAAGATCCATTTTTTTTAATAGTGAAGATTATATTGGTACTAGTTCTTAGGACAGTTGATCCAAAAGTAATATTAATACCTATCAAATTTGTTTAAAGATGTTTAGTTATTTAAGAGGAAATAAAATCTGAAATATACAACTTTCTCAGAGAAAATCAGTCTGTAAGTAGAACCTATAGGTTGAAGATAAACCATATTTTAAAGATGGTATCATTTAATTAGCCACTGTAGAGACTATCTAGAGACACACATATAAATTTGTGAAACAATTCAGAGTTACCTGCACATACTTGACTTGGCAAAAAATATTTGACTCTTGTAATATTGCATATTAATAAAACAATAGCTCTAAAATTAGTCTTTTTATTAATACCCATATAAAATGTGAAGAATGAAGGAGTAAAATTGAAATTCAATGATTAAGAGTATGAATATGATTTTTTATCTGCTTTCCATCTCAGCCCCAGAAGCCTTAACCTCGTAAGGTGCCCTTTTCAGGGGTTAATAAATTATAAAGACTTTCACTTTTTTCAGTGTCAGAGACAGAGAAGCTTGCCCACATTAGAATTGCATAAGAAGAGAACATAATCCAGAGGTATTAGCTTTGGGTGCTTTGCCAAGAAGTTTTACAAGGCAATGGGTCAGTTATTTTTACCTGGTGATAGCCTCAAATTAATTTTGATAATATTCATGATAAAAAAATATAAATCTATAAATTGAGACCAGAGTGTTTTGAATGTTAAATTCTGCTGAAAGGTGACAATTGGTTGTTTTGTTGTGATATTGATTTTAGTGGTGAGGAATTGAGCATAGTAAGAAGATTGTCTTGGCAGCACTTACCACACAAAAGTGGCTACACCCATGAGCCATTGCCTACCATAAAACCCTCAGCCATACATTGCTGCATTTGTGTCAATGTGGAAAACAGTTTTACTGAAATCGAGTATACATATGAGTGCGGCTAAGGAATCAAAAAGGAACTTAGTTAGACATTCAGTGTGGTGTGCAGCAGGATAAAGTCTGCTATGATTAACAGAGAAGCATGGTATGAAGTTAAGTTCCACAAACTTTCCTTATTTGAACTACTGAGGAAGTACAGTCTGGTTAGCACACAGTTCTGCTCTGTTGAGCAAGAAAACGGCAGGTGTTTACAAAGATACTTTTTGTTGTTTATTTGTTTGCATACCCTTGTGGTGAGAATAATGTTTTTAGCACCAGTCTATGTGAGTATAATTTCTTGTCCCACCTCTTTCGGGCCTTTGGGTCTTGGAAGGAAGGAAGGAAGGAAGGGAGGGAGGGAGGGAGGGAGGAAGGAAGGAAGGAAGGAAGGAAGGAAGGAAGGAAGGAA